ACTGGATTCATAAATTTAGGCTGCTAAGTCCCTACTTATGCGCTGAAATAAGTGGCCTGATTTTCAAAAGTGCTCAGAACCCAAAGGCTCCCATTGATTTCAACAGAAGACACAGCAGCCTGCTACAACCTATGGCTGGTACTGAAAGCCAGAGTGTGCAGATGTGCTGCCCCCTGGCTCCAGGTTGGGAGGGGACAGTGTTGAATGCTCAGCACTCTTGAAAATATAGCGCTTTATGCCTCGGGATCTCTGCATCAGACATTGCTGTAGGTGCTTTTAGGGACCGAGTAAGGTTAAGAAGGCATTGCCTGTAGTGCCCTTGCAGCCATGCCAATATAGCCCGCCGGTCATCTTTTAAGCAGCTGATGATCCACCCACTATCCTCAACTACTTAGCTTGATCTTAGTGAAAGCCTAGGAAATGCATGTCAGAATGGGTTGCTAGCAAGGCAGAAAATAAAATAAAAGCAATCCTGAACTTGAATGAAATATGTTAAACTGTGTTGCTGTATATACAATTTGCCCCCTTATTTTATAGGGGCTGTATTCATTACTCCTTACTGAAACAAAACTTCCATTTTAATTAACTGGCCTAATCCTGAAGTCCTTTATTCAGTCAAGACTAATTGACTCCAATGGGAGTTTTTTCTGAGTAAAGTCTGTATAAAAATCGTGTAATGCTTTCTGGATTTTAGAGACCTGGACTGAATATATCGTGTCTAATACGGCCCTTAGTTCATCTAGCAGCCTCGTGCCTTGGTAATGGCATATGCAGAGGTTGCAGCAGTTGTCTCCTCTAGTACAGGCAATGGAAAACACAGTTTCAAATTCAATGCTCAAAAGAAGGAACTGTCGGTGCTGAGGTTTATATGCTACCAGTTGCTCAATAGCAATAGGGACTTCAATAGAAATTCTATACAACAAAATACTAGAGAGCAGAATAATATGCTCTACTCGCCAATACCCTGGGATGAGATGAGTGAACTAGGCACATTTACATGTCAATTGATAGATTTTCTTTACATTATCTACAAATGACATAATTTCCCTTTAAAGAACAAAGAGCAACAAGACTTGAACTTCTCCATTCTTTTTTCAATAGGATTCTGGCCTCTAGGCACTACTATAATACAACTACTAATAATTCAGTGGTGGTAACCTCCCAAACAGGCAGGTAAGGACAAGATGGTACAGACCCCATTCTTCCTCCACACTGGCCACAATAATGGGACTGAGGGAGAGCACACTTCACCCTTGAAAGTGGTGCATCAGAGGCAGCTCTGGTCTGTGATCTGTTGGTGTGTTCCCAGAGGCTGTGCGCCTCACTCGGTCACAATGGGCCTGTTTCTCATTTACAGCAGGGCCACTATATCACTCTGGCAGTGTAAAGGGCTCTCAACGTGGGTGTAAGTAACACTTAGGCTAGGTCGACACTAGAGACCTATATTGGTATAAATACATCAGTCAGGGGTGTGAAAAATCCACATCCTGGAGCCACGTAGTTATACTGACCTAACCCCCTGCGTAGACAGCGCTATGTCAATGGGAGGGCTTCTCCTGTCAACACTGCTACCGTCTCTCGGGGAGGTGGATTAACTATGCCGACTGGAGAAGCTCTCCCATTGGCGTAGTAGTGTCTTCACTAAAGCACTACAGCAGTGCAGCTACGCCGGTGCAGCTGTGCTGCACATGAAGACAAGCCCTTACACTCTAAGGCTTCTTTTCACTATCAGGGTGGTGTAAAATGGCCTGAGTGTAAATGAGAATCAGGCCCAATGTCCCCTGGAGCTCCCATGAGGACTGAGTGCCTCTGCAGCCCCTTATCATAGGGCTGTAGCTTTGTAGCCACAAGCGAGTCCTTGCGGTAGTCAGGAAGCACATCTCCTTCCTCTGAGAACATTTTTACTTTTTTTTTTTTTTAACAGATTGAGTTTTTTGTTTTTCTCCTAAATATGAAGAGGGAATAAGGAAATGGTACAGCAGCAGGTATTATGGAAATTAGTCCTCAGCTAGGGCTAAGTAAGTGCATGTGAATAACATTAAAGCTAAATTATCCTTCAGCTTGGTATGTTACTATGAAAAATGCCTATTGCTCAAAAGTAACAATCATCAATGGAATTTGTTAAACTATGTAAATATTTGAATTTATGTTAGAGAATTTGACATTTCAAAATTAGCTTTGTTTATAAATAAGGTTCCAAATGCACATGGTATGTCAGGGAAGACTGTTAGAATTAGTATAATGAGTATTCCAAATGCTTTAAATCTCAGATGGCCAACCTATGACTTATAGGCTGAACATGGGCTGAATCCATCAAAAAAAATCTTCACCAGCACTCAGGGTTTGTATGCTCACTGGCAGGAAAAGAAAAGTTTCCCCTGCTCTTCACTTTTCTCCCAAAGAGCAGATGTGATAAAATTTTTCACTGCTATAGCAGCATTCAGATATAAAATATTCAAAGTTTTGTAAGTGTAGCTGCTACTGTTTTTACCAGATGGAGACGTGCTCATGAATGGCTAATTTTTTTAATATGTTTGTTGTGTTCTGATTTAGTTTCAATTGACATTGAAACAAGGAAACCAGCTCAATTTGAAGACAAATCTGAGAGACAACCTGTGCTTGGGGGGGAGGGGGAGAGCAGAACGAGAGCAGCCAGTTGCAGCAGTGTGACTGAGCATGCTCAGTACAAGCCAAGCAGCAAATCAGGGCTGGGGGGGGAGGGAAGGGGGCACATGACCCCGCATGACCCCCCCCCCATGTTGCCTCTGGACCATTTATTATCTGAATTCTCCTCTAATACCAATGTAAATCAGGAGTAAACCCACTGAAGTGAGTGTGGTTACAGCACAGTGTAAAATAGCCATACATGCTCTATAGTTTAGGCCATGTACACCTCCCCGCCCCTTCCCTGTGTTTGGAGGAGAGCCAAAAGCTGATAGATTCTGGCTGGGGAACGTGGGGGAAGCATGAGCTATGTGACACATTCCACCAATCCTGCAGAAGCCCTCTGCTTTTAGGCCGTAGGGCAGGCTGCTGTAGCTGTGGAAGGGGGATGCTGGTCGTGAGAGGGGCAAGATCAATGTGATGACCATCCTCCATGGTATTTCATCCCTAATCCTGCAGAGATTTTTCTCAATGGATACAATCATGAACCAATCGGCATAAACTCCTGTGGGTTCATTTTAGGCACAAAGGAATTTTCCTTTGTTTGGGGAGGGGGCTCAGGACAGCTGTTAGGTAGGCAGGCAGGATCGAATGACTCCTTTCAAACCCATTGTCAGGGGAAAAAGAGGAATGGGAGGGAAAGCTTGGAGAACAATTCAGAGAGACTGGGTATTCTTGGGGATACTGAGATCCATAGGGTTTCTCTACTGGTCTTGAGCTGTGCATTTCACAGGTCTTCAAAAGTAACCCTCCAAACATGAATCAATGTAACATTGTCTTTGGTCACCTGAAATGTCTGCTCAAAGAAGCATGAACTCTCCCATTCATCACAGCTATTTTAGCTATGATGCCTAATGATGACACTTTGAGGGTCAGATTTTCAAATAACTTAAGTGTGCAATCACATGCCAAATTAGCAAATGCAAGTAGTACAACTGTGCATTCAAATCACATAACCACATGCCCAAGAGGCCCAGTGCCAGCAGTCGGAGATCTGCTGTATTTCAAGAGTAATATGATTCTAGCCCACTCTTGCTGATTTCTTAGGGTTTTTTTTTTAAAAAAAGAAACTTTCAAGAAGAATTTGTTTCAATTCATTGCTCCCGTATTCTGACAAGTTTATAGCCAGTTTTATTCTAAGATTTGCTCACACAGGCAAAACTCAGTTGATGCTCATTCTTTTTCAGAGATGATTCAGAAATGCCACTTATCAATTATTTACGACTAATTCATATTTAATTGTTTAGTAACGAACACCAACTACTTCTATTTACAAATGATAAAATATGCTGTGTGATCATAAGTCAAGAATTAATAGGAAGAAATGCTAATTATACTATTGGAAAAAAGATAACTGGAAAAATTGCACTCAATTGGGACTGTTAGTTGCTGCAGGTTTAATGACCACTTTTCTGATATATCTTATTTCAAAAGAGTGTAGCAAAAAGTGATGATGCATGAAAGTTCTTGCATTTAGGAAATAACTGGAGCTTTATGAACCTTTCTTAAGGAAACCTGAATACAGAAAAATGTGCCTGGTTTTGTTTCAAACCCAAACTATGGATAAGGTCACAAAGGTTTTCTAGTCCTGTGGCAAATATGAGTTGCTATTTGGCCAGTGTATGGTTCTGAAGGGAGACCATTAGAAAGCTCTCTGATTTCACATGATTTTGACCTGAAATCAGGTAAAATTTGGAAGCTTTAGTTCATTGTTGGAAGTAGAAACTCCAAATGAACCTCAAGAAGTCAAAGCTATAAAAAGGTTTTCCTTAAACCCATTTACTGAATTGGAACCTTTTTGCATGTTTCTAAGACTAATGGGCTAGAGCCTTAGCAGCAGCTACGATCGGCTCAGGGCATGTGAGGGGCAGAGGCTCCCTGACACTAGGCCCGTCCAAGTCCTCCTTATAACAAAAGGCAACCTCAGGACTACTCTACATTAAACCTGGCTTCCCATGACCTAAAAGGGCTACTCCAGCAGTTGGGGAATACTGGATGCTGTGGTGCTCCAGCCACTTCCTCTTACTCCAAGAACACCCCCATTGCTAAGGACTCTGAGAGTGATTGGCATAGAGCTGCTTCGACAGCTCAGTAACACCCAGGGATTTTTCCTAGACTGCTGAAATCCTCAGGGGAATGGATTCCTCAGGTGTCACAGAGCTGCAGACCTGGCACGCTAGGTCATTCTACAAGTACACACCAACTGGTCACTGGAGAGCAGAGTTATTTTTTCTAGTTTTTCTTTTAATTTTAATTTTAAGTATTTAAATTTAAATTAGAAACTCAGTCCCATATTTGTGCTGGTTGCTGAAATACTGACAGTTGGCTCTTTTAATTCACTGTATCAAATCTTCAGCTTTGTGTTTAACAGGAAGCTCATAAGGTTTGGTTTTCTTGTGCAGCTTTTCTTCTCGCCTTTTCATAATTTCTCTGAAGTGCTCTTCCTCCTTCCTTTGTTTTTCCTGAAGTTCTTTCTCCAGGAGCTCCTCCTCTTCCTTAAGTCTGATCTGCAGCTCTTTCTGCCACTGTTGCAAAACAAGAGAATGATTTCATTTTGGTGCATGATGTCTATATAGGAAAAAAACACAATTTGGCATAACTGGGGTTAACGTGAGCAAAAAAGTTGCACAAACAGCAAGGGCAGGTAAGGACAGGTATTTAGAAAGAGGGCTTCTGTTGGAGGCTTGCGGCTGTGTGCAAGGGTTGGGGCGGTGGACGGATGTCATAGCTTGCCTTATTGCTGCTAAAACAGAAGTGTATGACTTTGCAGGGAGGAAGGCTCACACGTCCAGTGGAAAATATCATTCATTTGTGGACAGTCCTGCTCAGCTGTAACTTAAACATAATACAACTGGTATTCATATTTCCAATCTATCTCATGGTTTCACTTACAGACATTCTCAATGCTGATAAACTGGGGGGGGGGGGGGGGAAATCAAGTAAGAAATGTATTTGCTTATTTCAGTCTTTATAGGGAACATAGGCATTGCCAGAAGTAAAAACATTTTGCTGAAAAAGACTGAAAGTATTATAGTGCTGCAATCAAGAAGCAGAAGTTAATGTCTCTTCTTTTGTTCCTCAATGACAATGTTATTACTGCATTAATGGAGGCCCTGCAGCTACAGACTCTTAAATACAGAAAATCCAAGTCTGAGTAACACAGCCATAAAAATGTGTCAGGTGTTTTGGGGGTTTTTTAGGTTTCATAAGAAGAATAAAGTGGGGGGGGGGGGGGGAGAGGGAGGAACCACAGTCTCAAAGCACAGGACCAGGTATGGTAAATTCTGGGCTGAAATGTAAATTTTCTCATGCTTTTGGGAAGCTGACTGGAATATTGTGAGGCCCACTGATGCCTTATGGGATAATCAATCCTAAAAAGTAGGTGTCTCTTTCGAAAAACTTCCCCCACCCTGAAACAAACCAGTGGCTCAGGGGCATGTTGTCCATGGTTACAGTGAATGTCAGCTGAGAGAAGTGCTCTGAATTATCAATAAGATTTCAATACACTTGGTATTTTTTCTGTCTACACAGTGACAACTCAATGGAAAATTAAATCTAAAAGCTGTTTAACGTAATATTTCTTTCGTTCCCAAACCTGGCTTTATAAAATCAGCAATAATGAAGTCAGCAAAGAAAGGTGAATCATATATGATAGCATACAGAGAATAAGGAAGTCTTATGATTTCTTAGGGGAGATTCATATGAGAATTGTGATGGCAAAAGCAAGTCCAAAAACCAAAACAGCACTTCTGATTAACATAACAAAGAAAAAGTTATTTATTTACTATTGTTCTTTGTGAAGCAAAATACCTGGAAGCAAAATACCCACTCTTGGGAGCAGATGCATTTCTGAACCCTCTTGAAAGCATTGGTCTTTGGGGTCACCTGATGTTGTATAGGGCGTACTATCCCCGCCTCCCCCCCCCCAGGTGCTTTTCATTTTAATCAAATGCTATATACTGTACTACAAAAGACCTTTGAGAAAATGGGCAGAGAAATGTGGGACTCTAGCTGACAATCTTCTGAAAAATCTATGAATAAATAACCTTTTGTTTCCTTATAATACTGTCAGTAGGACATGGCTTTGAGGAGAACCAGTTAAATAAAGACTGCAGCTTGCTCTGCTGAACTGGACATCAGACCTAGCTGCCAGATCAATAGAGAGAGCAATACTGAGTAAAGGTATGAATATAAGTGCAGGTAGCAGGCTTGTGTAGCTTTGCGTAGCTTACTAAGACTTACTGTAGAGGCTACCTGGGTCCCAATGAAGTGTGTTCTAAGACATTAAAGCACTGACAAGTCCACAAAATCAATCCAACAATACCCACACTGGCAATAACCAGCAGCAGGCATTGGTCTTTCTAACAGCATTCAAACCAGACCTTAGCCAAGGATACAAAAGATAGGGAGACGCTCCATGTGCCCTCACCCTCTTGCATACCTGTCAGAATCTAGCCCTTAGTTAGGAATTTAGGATCTGGGCATAGTACCCCCCTTATATTTAGAAAATGTGTATGATCAATTAGTGTAAATCTCCCTTACTAGCCTGGCTGAGCTTATTGCAGCTAGTAATAGTCTTGAGGACACACAGAGCACTCTTCCAAAAGTTCAAATGGAGGGTCCATCAATCCTGGCAAACAGGAGATTCTAGTCCCAAGTAGCAGAGGCTCACAAATAAGTAAAATGGCATATAACAGTCCTCTCAGAAAATGTCTCCACATTTGGATGTGCAAAGAGATGGGTTTGGACAATACTGTGAGATAGTCTGGCATGTCTGAGTGTTAAATCCATGATTAAAGGTATCAAAGAATTAAATGAATCACTCTTAGCTATGGAGCATATTGTTATGAACTGGGTTAAATCTTGTTATGGATTGAATTAAAATCTCATTGAAACTGATGTCTGAATGGGCCCTTCACATAAGGTTGCTGATTGCCATATTTGGGGTCAGGAAGGAATTTTCTCCTGGGTCAGATTGAAAGAGACACTAGGGTTTTTTCATTTTCCTCTTCAACAAGGGGCATGGGTCACTTACAGGTTTAAACAAGTGTAAATGGTGTGTTCTTGGTAATTTGAAGTCTTTAAATCATGATTTGAAGACTTCAGTAACTCAGCCAGAGGTTATGGGTCTAGTGGGTGAGGATCTGTTGCCTGCGATGTGCATGATGTCAGACTAAGGCCAGAAGGGACCATCATGAGCATCTAAAGTCTATGAGACAGTTAAGGGGCCACACCTAAAACAAGGCCTGATAGAGTCTGCCCAGGAACCAGCAACATGTGGGCCGTGGGTTTGAATGGGTATGGATCTGACCAGGTGTGTGGGTGGGTAAAAGAGAGAGACAAGACTGGGGGAAGACAAGAAACAGAGAGATGGTGAGCAGAGAAAGAAAGCGAAGCAGCAACCTGTAAGCAGGGTGATCCTGAAAGAGCTCAGAGAAAGGTTCTGGGTCCGGATGCTGGCTGAAAGGACCTCAGGGTGTAAGCTAAGAACCATTTTTTGTTCTTCCTCCTGTGTTCACAGAAGCAGAACTTTGTACATTGTTTGTAAATAAACAAGAAAATACCAGACTCCATCATCAATTTCTACTCCCAACTGGAACATCCCCAGTGCCCTGAACTTTGACTAGCCACTCAAATAAAAAAGGGGTAACAATATTTATATGAAGTCTAGTTCCTACAACTTCCAAAAATCATATGTTCCAACAGGATTCCCTCAATGTTACCACCAAAACTGATGGTTGAGGAGGACTGAATGTTGCTCCCTTGCAGAAATACTTGAATACTGCCAACCATGCCAGAGAGATCTCAGCAGGCATGGTGACTAGAAATTGGAAACTGTTCTCCTCTTGAGTCTTGCAAAATGGTGTTACAAAAGTACTATATTTTGAATTTGACATGGACACTGCTGATAACATCCCAGCAATGGTGAAAATGGCCATTGGATCAATGATTACAAATCAAATTTTGCTTTTAGTTATGCTCATGAAACCCAAATGAAGTCAAAATATAAATGTAACTAAAGGCATAATATTGACTACGAGTGGTCAAATCCTTTTATACCTGATGCAAAAGATGGTAGCTACTGTAGCAATATAGCATTTCTCTACCTCCCCACTAGGGTATTGGCACAGTAATGACAAGGCCTGGTCCTGCTATCACTGAAGTCTCTGAACTGCAAAACTCCTATTTACTTTAATGGGAGCAGGATCATGGTATTAGAATCTACTTGAATCTAAGCCATTTATATAATTACACCACTTTCTGAAGCACCTGCTACTATTGTTCCAACCAAAACTATTTAGCTCCAGATCACAGCATCAGGCCATGCTTTCTCACATGCTGCTTCTCATGCTTGGGAGAAGCTCCCAGTGAGCATCTGCAAAACTAACTCATTATCCTCCTTCAGATCTCTCCTTCAAACTCTCCTCTGTCATGGTGCCTTCAAAAAACTTGACAAGTTAGGTGGCTGAGACCACTGTCGATCATGCTGACCAATCTTGTCTGATTGTTTCATGTGACTCCCTTGTTGGTCTGTCTGTAACCATCTGTTGTCTCTTTGGGGCAGGGATGTTTTATTCTGTTTGTACAGCACCTAGCACAATGAGGTTAGAGTCCGTGATTGGGGTTCCTAGGCACTATGGTAATATAAATAATAATAATATAGCAGTTCTCACGAAATTACAAAATTCTAATATGTAGCTAAATGTTTTGACAAATTATCGGCACAATGCCTTCCAATTTAGCCACCTGACACTCCAATGTTACTAGCATCTGTTGCCAATCAGGAATTGCTAATGGCAGTCCATCACTAAGTCTCCGTGAGCTATAGTGAAAATTTACCTTTGTAGTGTTGGCATATCTGTCAAGTTGAGTTTAAGCAACAAGGTCAAATTGAATATATCTTTCTAAATAAATAAAAGCAGAATGTAATGATATATTTTTAGATAAAGAAGTTGCTGCCTGAATGCAGTGCAGTGGATTAATGTATTGCTTTAATGGACTAGCCTCCTGCCTCTCCAGCTCATGTAAATCCTACAAGAACAAAGTGATTAAGAAATCTTTTTGATCTGTCAAGGGTAAAGGATGGTCACCAGAAAACTGAGTCAAAGGGTTTGGATTCAGTTGTTAGGAACACACATCAGAAGAAATCAGTGCTCTGTACTCAGATGTAAGCTTTTTGTCAGAAGAAATCAGTGCTAATTCAGGACACTAGGATTAGGCTATTATTTAACAAATAACAAAAGGCAGTGTTTTCCATAACTTAAGGAAGCAAATAAGATGCACTTGTAGCAGAGTTAAAAGGTAATAAAGTTTGGCAATGGCTGAATTTTGTAATGCTCAATATTCAATTTATGTGAATGCATATTTTTTTCAGGTCTGCTTCTCCTTGCTCAAAGAGCTTTTTTATAATTGTAAACAATGCTACTTGTCAAACAAAAAAAGGAAATAAGGATCTTACCTGATCCTCAATTATCTTCTTTAGCTCCCTATCTGTCCGGGTAAGGATATCTGGATATGGATAAATTGGTGTTCTTGCTTGCAAAAGTTCTTCCCTTTAGTAAAAAGAGAAACATCCAGCATCATGACATATCAGCATTCCTTTTCTTGAAATCATGCCTGCGTCTATGCTAGTCTTTTTGAGGAAATCTTCAACCAGTGCATTTCCATCAATGGAAAAAAGAGTTGGAGTGCTAATGTAAATAGAGCTCAGGAATTTTCATCACTGTGTCATCAGACCAGCTCCGAGAAATGGTCAATATTGAAATCTTCGTAACTGCAAGTAATGCTGTTTCTCTGTATTCCCTATTCTGTGCTAAGTATAAGGAGTACCATAAATATTGCAGTAACATAAAAAGGCTACCTGTGCACTTGCAGCATGATGGTTTCAACTGTCTACCTACCATAGGGTTACCTATAACACCCATCTTAGTAGTATCTAAAATTGTTTGCAATATTGTTTGTTGCCATGTTGATTCCAGGATATTAGATAGACAAGGTAGGCAAGGAAATATCTTTTGTTCGACTAACTTGTGTTGGTGGAAAGTACTAACTTTAAGGCTTCTCAGAGCTCTTCCTCAGATCTGCGGAAGTAAACCAGAGTGTTTGAGCTAAATACAAGTTGTTAAGTAAACAATCTGTCCCAATTTATTAGCTCAGACACTCTGGTTTCCTTCCCTAGACCGGAGAAAGAGCTCTGTGAAGCTTGAAAACTTGTACCTTCCACCAACACCAGTTGGTCCAGTAAAAGATATTACCTCACCTACCTTGTCCCAGTAGCATCTAAATCCTGTTAATAAGTATTTTTATAGCAGAAGTCACAAGGGGGTGCTGTTACATAGTCTTACGACTTTTACTCAGACTGTGAGCAATGTGGTCTCTGAAGAAATGCTGTGTTGTTAGCTTTTTTTGTGATGGCGGTTCTTTGGAGGGAGCTGTTGCAAACAGAGAAGTTGCTCTCTGCCTTAGACTCTTCCTCTATGGTTAATTCTTGGTGCAGAGTTGCTTCTAAGGAACCAGGCATTAGTATTTGGGCTGGGATTCCTGCAAGAGGGTTTTGGTTGAGTGTTGTTTGACTCCTTATGTCCCAGCACTGGTGTAAATCAACAAGTTATACTAAGAAAATGCCAAAAGTCAGTGTCACTGATTTCTCCTTAAATGGGAAACCAACCTGCAAGATGCTGACTTCTGCTACTGCTCAGCAGAGGGGCAACAGTATTCTAACTACACATAATAAGCACTGTTCTATCCAGGACTCTGGGCTAAAAGATTATCAGATAGTGAGCACACAAATAAGAAAAGTGATGAAGCTGCCTTGCATGCTTTCAAAGTTGTCAACAGAGCTCTAATCCAAAGCCCACTGGAGTCACGCAGTCTTTCTATTGACTTCAGTGGGCTTTGGAGGAGGCCCACACTAAAAGAAAACGCACGGCCAAAGGCTTTCCCTCACAGAGTGGAGAATTTGTTTCTCCATCTCTTAAAGGGGAATCTAGACAACCAGATCCCCATGTTTCCCCCTTCTTGTGATAATTCAGAGGACCACCCTGATGCAAGGAATGGGGAAGTTGGAATGGAGAATATTCTCACTCCCTGTGCTTATATTTCAGGAACAACCTTCTCTCTCCTGTTGTCCTGTTAGGAGTATTTCTTTGGGAGAGTTGCTGGTTTCTTTCATGCCCCTCTTCCCTATTAATGAAGGTATTTGTGGGGAGATCATTAGTTCTGACCCTGCCATTCTCACCACCCGCAGGGAGCCCTAGAGAGACTTCCCCTGCCTCCTGTCTTCAGCAGCTGGGCTACCTCATGCTACCTACTCTCCTGCTGTTGCCATGAGTGACTCTTGGGGGGGAGGGAGGTTCCTTCTCAGATAGAGCAGGTGGGGGGGCTCCCAGAGGCCTCCAAGTCCCTTCTCTCACCCCTTCCTCCCCAAAATGTATCTGTTTTGAAAAGCAACACTCCTATTGGACAACTGACTCTTTTTCCTCCCTGTTTTCTTTACACAGTCAGGGTCAGGGAGTGGGCAACACTCCAACACTATACAGCTGACCTAGTTGTTGTGGAGCAATAACAGCTACTATACACAATCATCCAAGAGTCTGCTCTTGGAACAAGCTAGCAGATTGTTTAAAGTGAGTGAATATGGCTTCTCTGGGCCTTTGTCTATACTAGCAAGCTCCGTAACTGTAATTTGCTACCAGTGCAGCTCCATCGGTAGTAGCTGTAATGTAGACAGCTTTCAGCTATTATTACCTCCCTGACTCTGAGAAGGATTATATAACCTGGTGATTAAAAATACGTTAGATATCTCATGTGTAGATTACAGCTTACACAGTTACTACCACAGATGGTGCTAAAAAGAGACAAGGGCAAAGTCCTGCAAGCAGCCTGGAAGAAAAGGGACATTGTGTGAAGTTGCTTTTATTGCCATGGCTGAGCAGTATTGCACAGTGAAAAAGGCAGGAACTAAATGAAATCAAGGAGTTTCCTAAAATTTAAGTTGTACTATCATCCGGTAGTAACAATAATAAAGAATCATCATAATATATTGCACATGTATAGTACTTGCCATGTGAGGATCTCAAAGCACAAAACAAATATTATTTCAGCCTCACATCACCTGTTAGATAAGGAAGTATCCCTATTATACAGCAACTAGAACCCAGATCTCCTAACTCCCAGTCCTATACTTTAGCCTCAATATTATGCTTCCCTCTCATTTGTAGCCAGATAAAATGTGGGTGCCCGAGGGACTTTGAGCACACAACATGGACTACACAGGAATTTGCAAGCTCATAGAAAAGATTAAAAAAAGAAACTAAGTGAGAGAACAGGAGAGTGAAGGACTTCAGTTCTGAATGTGGCCTGGCCATTTGTATTACTTACATATTCCTTGGTGTTGGATGCATACTCCCTTCCTGTGAATTCCTTTTTTTCCCTGGGTTTCCCTGACAATCTAGACATTTTTTTAACCTAGGTCTTGTTTTGCATATTTAATTGTTTTTCCCCAAAGCATTTTTAGTTGACTATTGCATATTTATTTTAGTAATTATGCCTAATTGTAAAAGTAGTATAAATTCAAGTAATAATTATAAAGAGCCTTATACAATTTTGTGACTAAAATATGCCACACCTGCACAGTAAAGGATTTCTGAAGTTAAAAAGCTTAGCAATTTCAAAGTATTTTCCCCCCACGTAGAGGAGATGATTAACCCATATTTCTTTATGCTCCAAGAGACACAAATAACATGGTTTTCTTTAAAATGAAAAAACACCTTTTTACTAATAGCAAAGCATAAAAAACTGGGGCAGGGATCTATCTTTTTTACTTGCCCGTAAAGCACCAGGCACACTTTCTGCATGGAACAATGTAAAGAATACAAAAAATAAGCTGTTTTTCATCTGTGAGGCTCCCAAAACTTTTACAAACTATATACATACAGTAATTACTTTCCCCTATAGAGCTAGGCATTTTCTATCAGACTGCTGAGATCTTATATGATAAAACTCAGCCAAGTTTGAATTTCTATAGTCCAGTTAGGCAATACTGAAAAGAAGGATTTGTTTTATGGTAAAAAGATTGATGCTACATTAAATACAGTGGTGATATTGGAACTTGTTACAATAATAATAACCTACAATGGCTTAAAAGAGAACTGGAATAGTTCTTTAAAAACAAAAACAACCCCATAAAATGTTTCTTACCTGTATCAACCTTATCCCATTCGCTTCAGCTACCAAGTAAGACTGTAGCTCACAGATAGACAAATTGTACCATAAAACCTGACACACAATTGACTATACCAAATATGTCCTGTACTCTTGCCAACCTGTACCATTTTTGACTACCTGGTTGGTTAAACTCTTTCAGCTTCTTAGTTCCACATCAGCTCTCTCTCAATTTTGTGCAGTACAACACAGCTCAATTTCATCCAGAGAAACAATCTGAATTGCTTAAATTTCCTTGGAACTGATTTTGTAGCATCTGAAGTACAAGTGGTAGTTTCTCAGTGTGCACACTAAATAACCCTGAATTGATTTAAGATGAAGCTGGTCAGTAAAGATCAATTGAGGGCATGGTGACCCACAGTAGAAAAAGAGAAATGCAAATCATGGTTTTTCTAGTGAACAGAAAATAGATGTTGTCTTACCGATCAAAACCTCCTTTGCAGATTCTGCACTGGGGATATAACTTGAAATTGATAATCTTTAAACTTTTGCTCAGGGCTGTGAGATTTTAAAGGGAAAAAATTGTGACCTACACTTTACAAAATGACTTTCAAGAAAACAGCTGTTCCCAGCAGTTCACTGTATTCTATGTATTCACAAGCCCTCTAGCACAGAGGAACAGCATCAATGGGCTCACCTAAGATTGTTGAAAGCAGACATTTTAATGGGTTTTTGCCATTTCCTCTATGCTAATCTTTGATATTTTTCTTCTGCTTTATTTTCTACTAACACTATTCATACATTTTAAACAGAGGAAGAAAAATGGATGGCAGGACTTGTGCAGCACTGAAAGCAGCCTGATACAATACCTGAGTGCATTTGTGCAACCACAGTATTTTCAAACAACTGCAGTGCTGAATCCCTAAAGTACCTGACAGATGTCTATGTATGAACCAACTGTACAAGCAGCAAGTATTCTCTAATGTGAAACCACTTTAACTTAACATGAGACCAAAATACCCAGTTCAGTGAATTTGATATTCACTTAGCTAACAAGCTTGAAGTGCCTTATTGAAATCCATATCAAATGCTTACTAAAAATGAAGCTTCCACCATCATAGTGAGCAAAATCATAGTATTTAACTATGGATAAAACAACGTATCCTTGATTTTTTTCACATTGTTGATGTATCATCTATAGACATTACATTTATAACAGTAAAATCTTTAATGTTTAATAAAAGATAAGTGTTAATATAGTCTGTGGTGTTAACTTTACTTATAAATCATTGTGATAAAACTCTCACACTTAAGCTTTCACCTATGTTAATGAATTGAGATAATTATCTACATAGTGCCTCTTCAACTTTCTCATACTGTAAATGGAAGG